ACTTCGACGCCGCTGGCGGCCGGAGTCGATAAAAGAAGAAATGCCGCATAATTTTACATTTAGATAGGTCGGATGTATAAGTGCAACACTTGGGCCGCCACCCCTGGGATTGGATATGACAGGCTGATGACGACTAATGGGCCAGAAATGTTCATCCGAGCATCTTTTGTCGTTGTTGGTTCTACTACATCATATACTTCAAGTCGCTATGTGACTGCCTGCGAGGGCTCTAGACTGAGCAACAAGGCAGAACGGGGCGAGTATTTTCCGTAATCAGATCGATGAACGCCCTACTATCATCATGTGTCCGATCGCAACCGAAAAAAACGAGCCCGTGATTCAATGATAGAGTGTTTCACTCAATGACCAAAGGATCGCGGGCTCGAACCCCGCGTGATCCACCCCTGCGATTGGGTGCGACTGGCTGATAACGGCTAACAAGCCAGAAATGGCCATTCCGGTCTCTCTTGTCTTTGTCAGTGCCACTTCACCACACCTGGCTTAGTTCTGCTCCTGGTGGAGCAACCGGATCTACTTGAGTAGCAATCAGATGCGCGTTCGGATGATGAAGAAGGCAACAACACATTTCCGAGCAAAAGGGTCATAATTCGGACCTATACAGGAAAGATACGTCACATGCCGAATTCTGAGTTATCAGTGGACGTGCGGAGCCGATAACATTGATGCTGCGCTGTCAAAGTTTAAAAAAGCCCGTTCCACTACAGATAGTAGAATCTGTCCACTAATTGAAAAGGGCTACCACATAAAATGGTTGGAGGTGCACCTTAATGTGATTACCTTTTTTTCTTTGACGGTGTTATAGTAGGTCACACTTCGACTGTTCTCGTGTTTATGTGAGAAAACGTGCTGTGATTTTAAGAACACAGGCAAAGTCCCCATGGGAAATAGAAGACACTTTGCTATATGATACCTCCATAAAGACCTTAAGCAAAGGCCACCTGTGCAATAAACCAGTTTTCACCTGACGAATCAACCGTTTCAGGTTAGCGGCTGCGGGATGTTAGCAGGTGCGGAATGTTGAAAACAGAATGCCGGACAGGACGACTCAGTCTCAGTGACGTGGCGAGTACGAAACAGCATTAAGCGAATTTATTTTGCCTTGAGTGTTGGCTGCCAATACAAAGGCGCGTTGAGGACCGGAAATTCAAAAATGTATTAACCGCCTGAAGCTCAAGTAAAACGCAGTTTTTATTATCTCACATTGTAAGCGCAGCAGCAAATCGATGTAAATAGACTATAACCTTCTGCGGTTTGTGCCAAAGGTAAGGGTTTAAAGATTCCTTTAACTGTTCAGGCTGTGACCGCCTTTATGTCAAAGTAGACTTGCGCTCTAGCTCAGCGTCAGAGACCGTCTCATATAAGGATTATGGGAACGCAAGAAGTGCACAGTTGCCATGCAGCCAGATGTCTAATCCGATTAGCCGATTATGGGTTCATCGCTGTGGTTCGTATATGACGCCATGACTGCCCGCTATTCGGCGCCCGACTCATTAATTATTGAAATTTTATCACTATTGGTGATTACTGGCGTAATGATTACTCGATTATTTAGCTCGATATCACTGGAACCGTTGAACACCCGCGTCTTGCCACATGTCTAATTACTCACAGCACATAATATTGAGCCGGGAGGTTACTGCGCTTATTGAGGGCCGAGAAGTAAGGATCAGACAGCTTACAGTTCACGCCACTGGCAGTTCTTGCGAGAACTACAGCCACGTCAAACTGAGGGGTGTGGCGGGGTGCCACAGAATGAGTAGCGACCCCGCTCCTTCTCCGCCTGACTACTGCCGCATGTTCGACCATCCGTGTGCAGATTAGGCTCCCCGTTTCACAGATAAAGTTAACCTTCCGCCACTCAACTATATGCGGTAAATGACTGAAGGCGTTTCCGGACAAGACAGTGGGTCTTTTGGCCTCGATACTTGACGCTTTATAGTTGCTTCTGGTTGGTGTGCAAATCCAATACCCACTGTCTCTAATGACGGGTTCGGACGAGAATCCGAAACTTTAGAGGCAATAAACTTCCTGTTCCAGTGATCGCATCTTCTTTTTGGAACTCGCCTCTCTGCGTCTATTGGCAGCTCTGGTCATGTTGTTGGTTTTTCTATCTACTTAAATTTTTCCGCCGGTGCCCAGCACCGACTGGAAAGTACTAATTTGGTATGCTTCAACTTGCGTTAAATACGTACCGAAGCGCCTTTAGTCTGTGAGTCAATGTAAGAGCGACTGAACCAGATATATATGAACCAAAACAGCAGGAAGATAATGCTTAATGTTGTTCGTCAGTTGATGAAGAGCATGACGGTTGATAAAGTACATTAAGAGCAATCGAATAGGGACAAAATTTATTCAACAGGAAGCGACCTGGTTAAAGTTCTGGAACCGTGCAGATTTTAAGACTCCCCAAAAGCAACTAGCCTTGTTAAGATAGACAGACTAAAAAGAAGCCGATGTGTTCACTGAAACAATAATTTTATTTGCCTGACTTTTCGAAATCCGTCGCGGATCTAGCATTAGAGTCAATAGCAGAAACAGGTAATTCATACACAGGGGGGGTTACAGGGAGTTCACAGAGTGCAGTCGCTGTGCTACTGCAGCGAAACTGTGGCTAGCCTCATATGCAGATTTCGAAGAAGCCTGTGTAGTTCCAAAAACCCATTATTCTTCAAGGCCCGAACTTTAGAAACCGGTTTAATTGAAATGTAGGCATTTTCCTAACTCCCTTTAAAAGCATATATTCTGGTATAAATCTGCTCAGCTTCAAAATTGGCATAGAAGGTCCTAATCTGCTGCTTGTTATTGGGCTCACTCGGCCAAAAACGTAGGCTTGAAGTACAGTTGCATGACACAATCGTACATGTTTAAGTTATAGGCTCACATTAGCATCTTCTATGGAGTTGCCTGGTCCGAGGGCCTCCTGCAGGAGCTGACCCAGCATTTGACCGAAGTGGTGGGGCCACGAAGTGTCACTATGTAGGAAGTACTCTGTGTACAGTTCGGGGAGATTCAGTGAGAAGAGGTCACTTTCAAGGGGAATCCACCCAAAAGAGAGACCAGCTGTTTGTAAGTCACCACCAAGGAGACCTCGTGATTCCAGTAAATACTGCACCGCCACCGTCTGGGGGTTGCCAAAAACAGAAGATGTATAAAAAACATGATAAGACTAAAAGATCAATTGACAGTGAGATCCGAGGCTCGAAAAAATGTGCCAAAAATTGCCAAAACCTAACCACATACGGCAATTTATGTGATTAAGCTAATCAATGTCAGATTGATACGAAGCTTGATGATCCGCTAATAATAAGACACTTGAACTGTGCACAATTGTACTGACAACAAATTAAGTTGAAAGGATATTAGTCCGATGGTCGTATGCAACGTGGGCATATGCGTTCGAACACCTTGAACACCCTGGAGTCATTTTGTGACTTAGACTTATGATGAACAGACCATCACAATAAATGACGCTCGCCAGACAGGCAGAACTCCTTGCGAATCAATCCTTGCCGGAATGAAGGCTAGAGGGTTAGTTCCAGGTATTCAGCTAGATCAAATCGAAGATGCTGGCCTTCCCGTGAACTGATACTTTGTGGTGACGCAGAAAAACATGAGCAATCCAAATACTTCCGTTGAAGGAAAACCGCGTTCAGAATGAAAACTATGTAGTTTGTCGACATAAAATAATACATACTTAGTGGAAGACATGTAATGAGCAATGTGAGGTTACTTCAATAAGTCACCAAGTCGTTGAAAAAAACCATGAATGTGGGGCTAGACCTTAAAAATAAATTACAAAAGAAAATGCAGAATTTCGACATCGGTTTCGTCAGAATTTGCAGCCCCTTACTTGTTATAGGTTGCAGCTCATATCAACATCCGCAATATCAAGATCCCCAGAGGGACTGTGGAGAGGTGAAGAGAACAAGGAACTAGACGCAAGTAAATAAGCTTATCACAATAACCGCTAGGTGCGGTCAACGGTTTTGGCTGACGACATGCTCAGCGGACGCGTACGAGGGCCACCTTATTCGGAAGGTGACTTGGGAGACTCGTTGACTTCAACCAGATCACTCTTTGTTCGCCTTCAAGACGTTCTTGAAAAATCGCTGTTGGAATTATGTGTCCAGGCATGCACCATATGTAGATACATCATGAAATCTGATTGATTTAACTAGTTGCTTAATCGACTGTAATTAGTTACTTTAAAAATCGCTGTTGACGTAAATGCTTATGGCTGACTACACCAAGATAATTCATGAGCTCTCGTCGAGGATTGGTGGACATGGCACACGTTCGCGTGACTAGGCTTAAGAATCGTATGCAAGGGATGCCTAAACGCGGACAGGCTATACTCACTGATCGTTGCTGGAGACGAATGCAAGAGAAAACATGAAAACCTCCAACTATGGAAATGACAAGACAAAGTATTCACGGTGTACTAAGACGGTGTCAAAAACTTCTTCTAAACTCTCCTGACAAAGCATCAGAAGCCGGCAGACAACAAGATGCTCCGGAATTATTAAATAAGTGGGATGTCTACGTCGCAATATCTAAACTTACTTTGAAAACGAGGATACAGATTGTAGTATGATATTACGTTTTATCGCCTGCATCCAACCGTGTCAAAAAGTTTTTGTTAATCCCACTAAGTGAAAAGGTAGGATTTTTTTTCATGTTATTTAGTTTTTAGTGTTAATAATAAAAATTATTTTATCACATAGACCAGAAGTGACAACAATGCTCTATTTCAACGTCTGTTCTTACCAGATATTACATGCAAAATTTTAAATGGCTCATGCAACGCGATTGGCGTATACAGTAGTCGCCGGCTATTAAGCCCACCTCGGGCCCAGACCAAATTGG